CCGCAAACGACAGAGCTGCCATTTTTTCTTCTTATCCGAACCACTTTCATCACATTTGCATCGTTTTAGGCTTCGTTTCAAGATGAGAAATAACAATAAAGTGCCCCCCAAAGAATATTACAAGAGTCCTCAAGAGGCAACTGTCGTACCCGCTCATTTACTAAACTGCGCCTTACAAGTAATTAAACTCCAACCTAGTGCCTCCACCCTGCTCAAAAGTCAACACGTTTTAAGGGATAGAACTCTCTACGATTACTTATAGAATATTTACATATACCTGTGTTAAAAATATTGGCTGTGGCTTTATTACTCTATCCTGGGGCATGAGATTATATAAATTTACAAGCCACAAATTGCAGGGAGGAGGCTCTGTTTTAAAAGAAATAATATCTTCATCCACATTTGAGTTATACTGACGGAAAAATCATGTTCCATATTGACGACGGTTGTTTTAGTAAATCTTTCCCGTTAACAGAAGTGTTCTCTACCTGCGAAGCGCATACTGATACGCACACCTGATACAGAAAAGTTATTAACATCAGAAATGGCCAGAATGTAAGATAACATTGCTTTATGACCCAAATTTTAAAATGTTTATTGGGCGAGCATGTAGAAGTATATTCTGTATTCCAGAAACTGATTAGACTCATCGGGAGAGTTTGAGGCACCTAGAACTCATCAACTAGTTTTCGGTAACCAACTGTCACGGGGTATGCCACCTCAGCGCCAGATGACTGATCGGCTCAAACGGTGAATTAGATGGGAGCACACGGAGTGAGGTCGACACTATGGAATCTGTCCACAAGACAATTCGTCGCGTTTCTAACTATAACAAAGCTGACGCGATTTGAAACTACCACGATGCTCTAAAAGTCGCGATTTGAGGGGTTGCAAGCTGGTGAAGCAACTCAAACGTTGTGGTGATTACTGTGTGCATGTGGGGCGACTGACTCGAGAACTGGGAGCCAGGATAAATGACCCCTTCTTAATCAAACGTTTTTAAAACTCTCACGATGTCAGAGTAGCCCTTCTTATGCAAATCCGGTACGATATGCGCGGACCAGACCGTGTGTGACACGCGGAGACGGGCTGGTTTAGCTTTGTCAGCAACTAAGACCTAGCCGGCACCCGATCAGCCTGACATCGTCCTGGCAATTGAGCCTGAAGGGTGCAGGAGGACGGAGTACGGTAAATACTGTGCAAATCCGTTATTAATATAAACTAGTTCACTCGCGAGTTCTGCGTCCAGTATGCCGTAGGCATACGGAGAAGTCATCGCATGTGACTGCCATACCCTCACCACTGCTAGTGGTGGGAAATCCTTAGTCCATGCATGGCAGGACTGAAGGAGTTCGATAGATTAAGGAAATATTTCAGAAACTTTGCCATGGTTAGTTACATATCCTGCTAAAACTTTCCACCAAAGACTCTCCGGTCAGGCGGAGGGGGAGGAGGCGACGATTTTGGCTGACTTGAAACTGAAATTCGGGTGAGTATAAATAGTCTGTCTCATCTGCAGTAACATAAGCGGACCAAGACTTGCCAGACCGTCGTTTGGTTCCTTCCAAATGTTGGCATTCGAACTGGTTAAAACACTGTCTTACCCCTATCCCCAATACCACCTGAAAGTATGCCAATTTTTGTCGGTGACAGTCTGCGATACCTACAGCAGTAATGGCAGATTTGAAATTAATCCGTTCGATAATTTTTTGTTGCTCTGCACTTTGTCCGAGATAATTTGATGAAACCGAACCCCATTCTAAAATGTGTATCAAAAAACATAAAAACTAACTGGCCTGAAGTACTGGCAGGGCTTTAAGATATCCTCGACGGAGTAAATATTTTGACAGGTATTTTTTATGGAGGCCTAAATCTTTAACCAGTTTTATGCTCACTGTGGTACCCCATGTCTTAGGAGTTTTAAACTTACCATCTTTTTTGCCCGTGAATACGATACCTTGTTATCAATAGATGCCGCAAAGTTTTTTTAAGTTTAGTATTTTGTGTTTCGAGGAGAAAACCAAAGAAGTGTAAAAAATGGATACACATTTCCAGCCAAAGGGGGTCTTATTATTAACGCACTTTTTCAGAAAGGATCACCGTGTCTCAGGCTGGTGAAAAGAAGGAAAGGAGACGGAGTTAGGTCTTTTACCAAAACCATCGATCTACCTAATTAGGTCTTCAAATTGTCACTGCATGCCATTTTAACCGCCACGAGCCGGAGATAAGCCATGAGTTTGACTAAATTAATTAAAATGTAATAGAGCAGCCTATCAACAGAACAGATCAAAAACTAGCTGAGTCCTCAAACTCAGACTCCAACTCCACTCATCCCACATTTCGTTCACGATGTCGGACGGTTAAAAAAAGATTTTGTCAGAGAATGGCCTATTTGACACACGGCAACATACCAAGACGACAGTATAGCTGTTGCTTTTTCCGCATTGTCCGCAGTGATTGGCCCCGCACGAGTCCGAAAGCTTAACAAAACCAAATTGGGGTTACCAAAATAGATCTCTTGGTCTCCACCGCCTTTTAAAAGCATCGTGCGAGTATAGTAACATTGGGAAAAGGTCATTCAGAGCCAGATCGCCTCGCAATTGTTACTTTAGATAGTCATAACCTGACAAAACGTTACTTCTACACCTGTTCCCTCAAATGTGCGACCGAACGATATTCACTGATTAACTCAAATTGCTGAGGGATTTACTTGTTCTTAATGTGAATTCTATCGGATTAAATTGTTAAGGCTCAGGCGTGCACTGATTCTTACCACGTCAATACATGTGCTTTTGAAGGTCCCGAGAGTTAGTTTCCACCAGGTAAACCTATACGCATTAAAAATAAGTTTACAAATATTACTCTTTGTACCTCAAGCTATTTAGTTAGTCGTAAGCGGGAACAGAAAACATAATATTTAAAAAAATTTAAATAAGTTACCACGTTTGAACAAAATGCATTTTTCTGAATAGTTCGTGGATACAAAAAATATTTTTTGTCTCCAGGTAGTGAAAATATGTACACACTTCCGCCTTAACTTCTGTCCACGACTCATTATCTATATCCTCGGTTTACTGAGGGAAGATGAATGCAGACCAAGCTAGCGAGGGTTGTAAAAAATACCTAAACTTTAAAATTGCAAAGATAAAGCAGCAGCTTATGTTCTATTGTGTTAATTTTCGGCTTTTTCATATGAAGAAACAGATGTTATAGGGATACTGCTGAAAAATTTTCCATTTGTAGGTAGAGAGATTTAGCATACCGAAATCCCACTGTATATTTCTTTTGTCGAATGAAACAATAGTCCGAGGGTGACCTATCGGTAGAAAAGTATTAATTTTTTCCTTAACTGACTTGCTCTTCACATGCCGACCCCTTGCGGTCGACATCTAAAACTGAGTAAATGAAGTCCGGTCAACATGTTTATAGGGACATGAAAAGTTCAGTAACTAAGGCAGACTGAAGTGAAAACCACACCTCACTTCTTAAAAGCAACACCCAGTTTCTCTTTTGTCGAGGCACTTTTCGCTTCAATCTCGTCCTGCAGAAAAATTCCTCCACAGACAGTTCGCCATTCTTGAAAACTAGACCCTCAAAACTTCAAAATCTGCCTTTGTATGTACAGTTCCCTCTAGCCCTGTTTTATACCATAAAATCACCGTTTTTCCTCACCCCGCAGTTACTTGAACTGTTGGGATACAAATGTGTCACACTTGCTGTCCTGT